AATATTTCTTCACCATTTATAAAATGTGGTCGATTAGACATAAATTGGGATATACTACGTGAAAATTGATAAGTAACAAAAGCAAAACAATGATAAACCTGAAAGAATTAATCAGAAGACAAAGTAATTATATTATTATATCAAATAGATAATTATTTACATTATTTTCTTTATCACGATTTACTGATAATTCTGTTAATAATCCATATTTTTCACAATATGTACGTAATACATCAGTAGATATATTACATAGATTTCCAATGAATACCTGACGACTAGAATTATTTAAGATAAAATATTGCGAATAAAATAAAGATTAGTTATGTTCACTTACTCGCTCATTATTTTCTCTAGTATTATTAAACAAAAAAATGATCTAAAATTAAGTACAATACTTTTATTTATTCGATCATATCAAATGCTTTGCTGTGCTTGTAAAAGTGCAAAGTAAAATAAGAAAATGGCAATGGTTAAATGAAGGAAGAAAACAGTACAGCCCTGGATGGTTATATAGACTAAATAAAGAAAGAAAGACATGTGATTATAACAACATAAATTTCGTAGTATTAAATTGTTTATACTACTGAACGAAATTGTAAAGAATATCAAATTTAATATACTCTACATATGATTATGCGGCAAGTTTCATAAATAAAATAGAATAAAAGAAATTTATTACTTAGTAAAAATCGAGAAGTTGTTCTTAATGAAACTAATATTAAATAAATGAACTTGCATAAATATATATATATTGATTCTAAGCGACATCTAATCATTTTTCACAAAATTCTATTTATGAAATTTACTTTTTTTCAAGATTTTATTGCAATAGAATTTGTGTATTCTCTTCAATCATTAAGTATTTCTACAATCTTCTATTGACATTGGCTCATGGTTTTTTTGCATTATGTTTTTACCAAAACAAATAATATTTTATTACTCTCTTTCCTTTTCATTTCTTCCAACATATCACTTTCAAAACAGTAAATAAATGGCAACAGCAACAGGAGCAGTAACAGGTAAAGCACAATGTGTCACATGTAGGAAAGAGAAGAGTACAACTCGATGTGATGGATGTTCTCAACCATTTTGCTACAATCATCTTGGAGATCATCGACAAGAATTAAATAAACAATTAGATGAGATAGAAGTTAATCGAGATCTTTTTCGACAAACTCTTACAGAACAATCAGCTAAACCAGAGAATCTAACATTAATAAAACAAATCGATGAGTGGGAACAAGATTCAATTGATAAAATTCGTCAAACAGCAAATGAAGCTAGACAGACAATACTACAACATAGCACTAAATGTCTGACTGATTTTGAAACGAAATTAAACACATTAACTAAAGAACTACGAGAAAGTCGTGAAGAAAATGATTTTATTGAAGCAGATCTTCAACGATGGAACACACAATTAACACAAATGAATAACGAATTAGATAAACCTTCAACCATTAGTATCCAACACGGTTCGACACCATTAATTAGTACAATTCATGTTAATGCATCAGGTAATCTCCCAGTATTATATTTGAGAAGTGTCGAAAGATAAATACATTCAAACTAAACTAGTTATAAACAAATTGTATGTTACTCTTCTTCACACATCACCAAATACATGATTTGTCTAGATTACAAAACAATGCCTGTTTCTCATCTGACGTTTTTTTGTTAGGATCAACGATCTGAAGTAGACTTTAAAACACAATCTAGATATCATTATAATAAACTCTTAGTTATCGAAGATTTTCATTACTTAAAATTTTACAAGGTATTACATTTATAATATTGTCAGAATGACTAGATATTGTTTGAGGACTTCTATTAAAAGTTTCAGAAGATAATACTTCATAAAGTAGAAATGCTCGGTATAGATAAATGTGTATCCACTCTATCAAATAAAAACTAGAAGTTAAATTAGGATAAGCAAATAAGTTTCACAGGAGATAAGGTGTTTTATTTCATATCTACTTTAAATAATTCATTAATTAAATACATAATTGACTAGACAAATTGTAATAAATAAATGGTATAATGAAATGATTATATTTACGTAACCTAAATGACAAGCTTTATTGCAGAACAATGTATTTTGTTCACTAAAAGACAGAATCCTTGGCTTTTGCGTCGATCACGACTTTGAAAGAAATGTTTTATTGTATGTGAATATCTTATTTTAGTCTCATCGCATTTACCAAATCTTGATAACGATGCAAAATCGATACAAAATGGTGTCACAGTAGCTGGAGGCAACGGAGAAGGTAGCAGAAGTAATCAATTATCTTCTCGTTTTAACTTCTACATCGATAAAGATCAAACTATGTACATTGCTGACTATAGTAATCAGCGTATTATTGAATGGAAACTTGGTGCACCAAATGGTGAAATAGTTGCTGGTGGAAATGGAGTTGGAAACCAAGGTAATCTATTGAATGGTCTAACACTTGGCATAGTTGACAAAGTAAATGATTCTTTTATTATCTCGAATATTGGTAATCAAAGAGTGATACAATGGTCTCGTCAAAACGGCACAAGTGGACAAACAGTCATCTCGAATATTACTTGTTTTGGATTAACAATAGATAATGAGGGACATCTCTATGTTTGTGACTACGATAAACATGAAGTGAGACGATGGAAAATGGGAGATACAAATGGAATAGTAGTAGCAGGTGGGAATGGAGAAGGAGATCGACTTGATCACTTGAGCCAACCTTGCAACATGTTTGTTGATGGAGAGAATTCATTGTATATATCAGACGGCAGAAATCATCGTGTGATGAAATGGATGAAAGATGCGAACGAAGGTGTTGTAGTCGATGGTGGCCAAGGCCTGGGAAACGGACTGACACAATTGTTCTATCCACGAGGTGTGAGGGTCGATCAACTAGGGAATGTTTATGTGGCAGATCAATATAATTTTCGAATAATGCGTTGGTCAAGACATGCTACACAAGATAGTATCATTGTTGATGACATTAATGCAGGAGCAGAAGCAAATCAACTTCAGTACCCTTTAAATTTGTCATTTGATGAACAAGGGAATCTTTACGTCGTCGATTATGGCAATCATTGAGTACAAAAGTTCAATATTCGTTCAACTTAAAATTTATGTTACATAAGAATTAATCCCGATAAACTTTAATATTATTTTGTTTTGTTTTTTTGTTAATTATTATATAAACATAGAAAACTATTATTTAATTTCAATCTTGATTTTATCGTGATATTGTTCTTATTTTAATTTAGAACAATATTCAAAAAATAAAAATTCTTTAAAATAATTAACATCGGAGTATGATGGATGTGTGTGAGTTAAACTCAATATAAATATTTACGTTGTGTAGTTTATCTAGGCATCCAGTACGACGGATTACCCAGAACCACTGGTTTATACCCATAGACAATAGTCTTGTGTTATAATCAAATTTTTTAAAAATAATTCGAAAAATAAAAGACGTATCAGAGATGATTAAAATATTCAAACTATTTTATCCAACAACAATATATTTGGGATCTTATATATGGTTATCACAGTCTAATATTTCTTATCTTAAAATAAATTCGTTTTATGCTTACAAAATACAACAGAATTTCGAAAAGTCATTCTAACTATTGAAACCTTGCATTGGTGAGGAGGTAATTTTTGATAGTTTGTTTTCGTTCTTCTACTTCTGATCACCTTCTATTGATAGTGACTCGTGTTTTTGTGCATCACGTTTTTACCAAAACAAGTAATATCTTATTACTACCTTTCTTTTTCATTTCTACCAACATGTCACTTTCAAAATAGGCAATAAATGGCGACAGTAGCAAGTAAAGCACGTTGTGTTACATGTGGAAAAGAGAAAAGTACAGTTCGATGTGATGGATGTTCTCAACCATTTTGCTACAATCATCTCGTAGATCATCGACAAGAATTGAACAAACAATTAGATGAAATTGAAGTCAGTCGAGATCTTTTTCGACAAACTCTTACAGAACAATCAGCTAAACC